TAGGTTTTAAAAGTAGCCGGATTAAGGCGGAGTATATGGAATGCAAGTTTAGTAATAATAAGAGAAGGGACTAAGAAGTAGTTAAGATTGATGGCTAGGAAATACCAAAAAGAATGCACTTTCGATATCTTGGGTCGATAACTTAAGAAAATGGAGAGATTTAGGATGATGTCACACATAGAATTAGAGCTGTGTGGGTGAAGTGGAGTTGTGCAAAGGGAGTTTTATGTGATCGCCGCATTCCAATGAAGCTAAAGGGCAAGTTATATAGGACAGTGAGACTAGCTTTGCTTTATAAGGCAAAATGTTGGGTGGTCAAAAAACATTGTACCCATGGAATGAGTGTAGTGGAGATGAGGATATTGAGATGGATGAGGGGAAAAGACAAGAACAGATAGAATTCGAAATGAATACATTTGAAAAAATTTAGGGTGGCACCAATAGACAATAAGATGAAAGACTAGACTTAGGTGCTGGCCATGAGTAGTGCAGACCCAGTATAGCACTTGTTAGGAGGTGCGAGTTAGTTCAAGTGGAAGGCTCGAAAAGAGCATGAGGTAGGCTCAAATGGACATAGTTGAAAGTAGTGAGAAAAGATATGGGAGATTTATTGCCTCACTGAGGGTATGACCTTTAATAGAGCAGAATGGCGGATCAGGATTCATGTAGCCCACCCTAATTAGTCGAGAAAATGCTCTGACGATGATGCCTTTCTTTCCATCCTTGGGATTTATGGAATATATGATTGGTATTTGATGATTGGTTGCAAGGGGGGACACATAACTTGATCTCTTGTTGGGATCACATCTCACTTACACATTTGAACATGTGGTAGTTAGTTGAGGAAGTCATAGGATATTGTCTCTCTCTTGTTCACAAGAAAGGAGAGAGAGTGAGGAAGCCAGAGAAACCCTAGGATGAGTGAAATGTCACTTGTGCCTTTTGGTCACTCTCTTGACTAAAGATCATGGGTTTTGGTTAAATCTTATGGTTCAAATTCATACTAACGTTGTACTTTTACAAAAAAGTGGACAAGGGTGTGATATGTATTATTGATCTATGATTGTTAGTCAAATGATGGAAGGTCAAATTGAAATCTTCTCTTCAGTCCACAAAGACAAATGGCTAATCCAACTATATATAGAGGCCCTGGGCACCAGATTTTAATCACTCACCAAAGTGTTGTTATGCTGCCAAAATTGCCTTAACCTCCTCCATTAGTTTCCATGCCACCCTGGGTCTCAACTTGGTCCATGGCGTGTTGCGCCCTTGAGACTTGGTTTGTCATAAACTAGCCCACACTACACCCTACCATCATACCCTTTGTGCATAGTTCGTCCTAACAACCACCATGAACATCCACGCCACCTCTAATTAACTGAAACCAGCCACATATTGCCCCAACTATCGTGACATTTGGTGCTGCTTGGTCTTGATCGTGTTGGTTCTGTGAGTGTGCTTGAGTGTGTTGGTTTTAGAGCACCAATCCCTCTTGTTTTGGCATACCAAGTGAGGACAGTTGCAGACAAGAAGAGAGAGAATTTGAAACGAATACATTTGAGAGAACTTAGGTACGGGTCTAGTAGGCAATAAGATGAGAGAAAGTAGACTTAGGTGGGCATGCCACATATAACATCTGTTAGGAGGTACGAGTTGGTTCAAGTAGAAGTAGTGAAAAAAGATGTGGGTGGGCCACATATAGCGTAGACCTAGTACAACACCTGTTAGGAGGTGCGACTTGGTTCAAGTAGAAGTATTGAGAAAAGATGTGGGAATATATGGCATCACTGGGGGTATGACCCTTGATAGAGCATAATGACGGACTAGAATTCATGTAGCTGACCTTAAATGGTTGGGAAGAGGCTTTGATGATGATGATGATGATGAAGTAAGGATCTTTGCAGCCCTTTTTCCCCACATTTGCTCAGTTCTTCGGAGAGACCTTTGAGTGGATTTAGGAATTCTTGGTGCTTGCCACAATTTTAGCACGAGGGGGCCTGATCCAAGCGCTACCATAGGAAGTGATCTGGTATGGGGTGTTTCAAAGTCCATTTGAGGTAACCTTAGGGCATTTGGTTGCATTTCTTGGCTTCCCGTGCTTCCATAATCTTGTTGTTCATATCTTTATGTTTGGATCTAAATGAGATTGCAAGTGGTGTCATGTGATGAAGTTGTGGTTGTTTGTTGGGGTTGAATCTAGGTAACACGTGTAGATTTTTGTATAGTTCACAATCTTGTACATTGCAATCTCTATTATGTTAATGAAGGGAAAGTGAATTGGGGGCATGCTAGTCTGACTCCCTGGGTCTTGTTTCAGTTGTAACCAAGTTTGTTTTGTGGCCTTTGTCTTGTGTTTCTTGCTGTAATTGTTTGCAATAGGCTATTATAAGTATCTTCCTAGTGTTTGGTCATAGAAAAATTTTAAAATTCCATATCGGGAAAGAGAGATCTAAAGCCTTTAGATTCTTTGCAACAAAGGGTCCTGATATTCTTTTGACAACCCAAAGCAATGCTTCTAGATTATGTTTTAAGGAGTCAAATACTCTATGATATCTATTGGAGACTTAATGTACGTTATAAAAGTACTATTTTTTAAAACATTAAGCAGTTTATGCAACATCACAAAAAGAGTGCCTTCCACTAAAACCCCTGTATCTTCCTGACCTTGCATGTACCTCCTCTTAGATTTTACAGTAAGAAACTAGACTCCAAAACAATAAAAATAAATATATAAAATTAGAACATGCCTCAAGAAAAATTGCTGCCACATCCCTAAACCGGCACTCAAAAACTGGGGATTTGTGTAGAAAACCTGAATTTGAAAAACTCTACCAAGAATCAGCTTCTAGGACATGGCACAACCTATCAAGTCTCCAGTAGGGGTGGCACCCCACTATAGCTAATTGATTCGCTTCTTTTCTTTTTGTTTTAGGTGAGTTTCAGCTACTAGAGGTCCCTGTTTGCAGGGTTCTCTCTCTCCCTCTCTCTACTTAGATCTCTCAGCAAGGAAAGTGGAGACATATAAGCCCTAGCCCTAGGTATTAGGCAACACCACTCTTCTCTCTCTCTTGAAATTCATAATCTAAAAAAGCCAAACTTCTAGGCACGCCTCTCTCTCTCTCTCTCTCATCCACATTGAACTTTCTATTTTGGGAGATGGATGTGATAGATAATGGGTGGGATATCTATAGGGGTACAAAAGAAAATAACTGAATTGGTCTGATATTAGATACATGAGAATGATGATGTGAGGCCGTTGTTCTCAGCTGTCCATCCATGCCCAACCATCATGAATCAAGTGTGGATCTTGCACCCTTAGCCTTCGGTGGAGTTCTAGCTCCAAAGACCCTCCAAATCTATCTGGATTACATTTGGAAGCTTCCATGGGATCTCCCTATCCTAATTAGATCATTATGTCTCAAAGAGAGCCCAGCTCATTACTCATGCCCTGCTTTTGGTACCCAAGTGGGGCCATGCTGCCACTCAATCTAAGAGAAATCCATAAAGCATAATAAGTATGAGGACAGACATTAGTTCACATAAAATGGAGCGTCAATCAAAACACCAAGTGTACAGGCATTTAAAGGCCACACCCCCTCTGTGGGATCATTTTCTGTCTTATCAAATATATATTTTTTAAGAAAAGGATGGGTCAAAATCCCATATCATTTGTGACAAAAATTGGACCCACATTCCATACATTAAATAGGATTTGGGATGCAATGAAGTCATAACTTTCCCTTTCCAATTAATGCAAATTAAAGAAACTCTTTCACTTTGAAAAATTTTCAGAACATGAATTTGAATGTTTTTTGCTTTTTTATTTTTATTAAGATGCATTTATTGCTCTAAGTTTAAGAAGCGTGAAGACCTTAAACTTTCCCTTAACCTGTCCCAAGCCTGGGTAAAGGCGGTGGGTTGTGTTGGATAGGTAACCAGTATAAAACTATGCCAAACTTCTCATGAATTTGGAATATACGCTATCTGATGATGATGCATTTGTTGCTTTCGTTTTTTGATTGACATGTATTTATCACATCTTGAATAATATAAAGAATACGGGTATGTGAGCTGTTTACTACCACTATTAAATTGGGGTTATGCTCCCTCCTACTTAGAGTCACGGTAATCCTTCTCTAGAACCGGTGGATCGAGTTTCTAGAACAGGATCACCACCCATGTTAGGAGATCCCTATAACTAAAGTTCATACTCTATCTGCGTTAGTGTTCACTCTTCCGATCGGTGATTTGTGACCTTTCAAGAGTCATGATGATGGATTTCCTGTAGCGCTACAGAGACTGTAGTGAATGCCTGTGGGCGGAGGTGAAACCTTAAAATACATAGCTTGTGTAACTACATGGTACCCATCCAAGAACCATGCTCATTGTCTATATTGACAGTTGAGGTTGAATGTTAGCCATTATAGACTCTTTTAAAAGTCCCTTGCACCCATGCGTGATCATGTTCATTGGGGCTTCCCCTCGCTTCCTATTTCTGTGAGGAAACGTTACATGCCTTTGTGGAAAGACATAATGGCTCCCTATTCCTGACTGCCATCATAAAACCTTTCCGCTGCCTTTAACAAGTATCATTCCCTTGTGTTGTTTGTGCATGAGCGTACTTTTACTGTACTTAAGTCCTTTTTCAAGCTCTCTATTGTTGACTGAACTTGAGGTCATACTTTTGTATGTATTTTAAAATCTGTTTAGTTTCAATCCAAGCATTTGTATCATTTTCAATGGTGTATATTATTTGCTACATCTTTGTAAATTTGGATAAGTCATTTCTCTTCTACTAGAGAGTCACTAATGATGAGGGAAAGTGTATTATGAGACCATACCTTTGGTACAAGGTCACAATCAGTCTGTCAGACATGAAATTGGGGAGCTGGGGTTGTCATTTCCTATAATTTCAAATTCAATTAACTGCTTGAGTTATTGGAATATTATGTTGATGGAACTAAATGAATGCAGAAATTAAACATTCAAACTGTTCACAGGTCATTTTGGAGCTTGAAGATCCGAATCCTGATCTCTTGTTGAACTTTGTAGATGGACCTGATTTTACATGCTACGCAAAATCACCAAAACCAAATCTTATTTAGGCTGTCATTACAGGTTAAGATGAGTGGAAGAAATTTTGGCCCATTTTCCATTATTTGTGAAACTTGCAGCACCAAACTTCTAAAGAAAGCCAGGGGGCTTTTTTCAAGAATGGTGAGCAACTTGGGTCATTTTAAGCTTGGTAAATTGTGTATCACGATACATGTAGATTATGAATGGTATGTTGCATATAACTTCAACCAGCTAGTTAGATGAACCAATGATTTAATTCTTGTCGATTCAGATCATGAGTCACTGATCCAGATCCATTTGGTAGGGGATTGACCTTGTTTCTATATGGAACCGGGAATTGTTTGGATTGGTGGGAATCACCTAGTCAGTGATCCAGATCCGTTTGGTAGGGGATTGACCTTGTTTCTTTATGGAACCGGAAATTTGTCAGATCGATGGGAATCTCCAGGTTATGTTAGAGACCCAGGTCTTTCTGTTAGTAGATTGTCAATCCGGGTTAGAGAACTAGGTGATTCCCACCTAATTTATTTTTGGAAAATTTATCAAGATGCGCGTAGGGATGAATAACATAACATTTTACCTGTATTTTTATTTAATTTCAAAAAGGCCATCAAAATACACATAACCATAAATTGGAATAGTTGAAAATGGGTAAAACATAAACTAGTTGATAAGTTGGGTGTATTTGGATAAATTTTCGTTTAGTTATTATTATTTTTCCTCTTAGAATTGGCTGGTCTAGATTGATATTTCTGATCTGAACCGGTATAACCGAGAGCCAATCTGACATTGGATTATGGGTTTTAGGACACTACATTTGACTTACGACGAGAATGGAGGAATACACATTGCCTCTTTTCTCTGTTGACAATTCACAAGAGAGGATAACTGTATCATATGTTGAATGTACAATTTATCTTAAATTCTTCAATATGTAGGATTTGTATTTATTCTTTGATCTGTAGGGTTTGGGAAAACCCTTCAAACGGGCGTGAAGGGAATAAGAGACGGAGATGGAAATAAGGATTTTAAAAGACACTTCCAAAGTATTTTTTTTCAGTTTTTCAATTGTAATCTTTATCTTACTAAAACCAATGATGACACAATTTGCTTCAACCTACGGTGCAATAATTTGTTTTTACTGAAGGCCAAAGCTTGCTTCCCACTAACCAAAAAAAAGAAAAAGACAAAAAAAAGAAAAAAAGACCAGGGGAATAGCCTTCTAAGTTGGGTAAATATATATGTGGGAATCTTGGTGACCGATACGCTACCTGTAGTTAGTTTTTACATACATATCTATTACAGTTTTCGTTATTACGGCTCTATTGAATAGTTTTCGTTATTATTATAGTATCCGTTTTTTTTGAGTCAAAACAAAATTGAAAAAAAAGATGATTTTACCATTTTTCAATTGTTCAACAATTGAATTCAAAGTATTTTCAAATGTTTAACAATTGAAAATACACCAATTTCTGTTGTTGAAGAACAGAAAAATGTTCTCTCTCTTGCAATGTATTTTTTCTACCTCTTCGAAGTCATAGTTATCCGATAAAATTAAAGGGGAGCAACTAGTTTGAGCACCTAAATTTAGGAGAAATTTTAGGGAGCATGAGATTAGAAAATTAGGAAAAATCTTGTGGTGCATTCTCTCTCTACCACTATGAAGTCGTGGTTATCCAATAAAATTTGGGGAAACCGCTAGTTTGAGTCCCTAAATTTAGGATAAATCTTAGAGATGATGAACTTTACTAAAACAAAAAGATGCTAGGTGAAGGGGAGAGAGTTTTTTACAAAAGAAAAACAACAAGAAAATCATTTTTACCCATGTAATGTAGAGAGGGAAATAGAGAGAGGATATCTAGACACAAGAAAAAAAAAATTCGGTTTTTGAAAAATCGAAAATTTTAAATTTTTGGTTATTCAAAAACCGAAATTGGCCTCATTTTGTGTTGTTGAATAATTGAAAATACTCTGAATTTGATTGTTTAATAATCGAAAAAGGGTAAAGTCATCTTTTTTAAAAAATTTTGTTTTGACATGAAAAAAACGGACACGGTAGTAATAATGAACTATTCAGTGGAGCCATAATAACGAAAGCTATAATGTATATGTATGTAATTATCCCTAGTTTTTATGTTTACCTCAAATATCGTAAGCACATTTTCCCATAAATGAAAGGAAATATTCTTTTTCTTATAGATATTCAAATAATATTAAAATTAAAGTAAATATTCTTTTTTAAGAAATATTTAAATAATTTATTCCTTCTATTTTTCTTTGGTACTCTATTCTAAATTGCGCTGAAGTTGGTTTTTGTGAAAATGATTTTTTGGTACTAAAATTGTATTATATATACTCGTACCTTTAAGAAAATATAATGCAAGAATACTGAACAAAAACATTTGTTTGGTACCTTAGTAATGAGAGGACTGAATATAACATGCAAACGAATAAAACTATTCAATAGTCCCAAGGAATTTAATTAAAGGCAGTACCGGAGAGTGTATCGGATCCTCATCAGACAGACGCAATGTTTTAGGTAGTACACAAAATTACATATACCACGATTCCTCTTTCTATCAATACCTACATGCATCGTACATACAACTAGATGCGTATGTGGGTGCATGTGTGTATATGTCTAGAAAAAAAGCTTATACAAGGTTGTGATTTTAAATTATAGAAGTAAAGTATACCTCAAAAATTCAATAGAAAAGAGTGTTCTTAAGTTGAAAAACCTTCCCTTTGATAATTTTTTACCTCGAGATATATGGATATAGAAACAAAAAAGAAATTTAAGTCTTAAAATGGTACATCTTGTAGCAAGTTATCTAGACCGTTTTATTTTCAAAATTTTGAAGTGTTTATAGAATTGCTTAATCTGCATTGTTTAAGTTTCATAACGTCGGTTGAACATTAATTTTTTAGCTATCATAAAGTTTCTGATACCGGATCTACATCTTCCAGCAAAATTTAGAGGTATCCCTTATTTGTAGATAATAAGGTAGGCATCTTATACATCCAAATAAAATATTGCATGATACACTAATTCAAAATCCATTTCCTTTTCACATTCATACAACTCGATATCAAGGTAATAAAATAAAAGGTTTTCTAACATCCAAACAATTTTTTATGATGAATTTTTTAGATGCACCTTTATTTATTTATTTTGGGTAATTCAATGGGGAAGATAGACCCCTATTCATTTTTTTTTAAGTAATTTAGGAATTGGTTTTTTAAAAATGTTAGTAAAATGTTCTACATTTGAAGGATGTAATCCTATATAAACCTTTTATTTTTTATTTTTTTTTTTCTTGTTGCACGAAGACATATCCGTTACAGCGGCGTTGGAGCGGGCTACTCTTGAACAAGACGAGTCTTCCCCCGTAGATGGTGCATAACAGGAGTGCGTAATAGGGGCACAATTCATTGAAGTTTAGTAGACTTAGATCGGCTACTTCGAAAGCCAAGTCAATTCAGTGGATCAGCGATTCGGATTGGAGAACTTATCGAATCGACAAGTCTTCGTCTCAAAAATTTTAAAAAATCATTATAATTTCTCAAAAATATAGTTTTTCAAGTTCCTAAAAAAATAGTGGCAATTGCAAATAGTTTTTCGTTGTTGTTATTATTATTATTATTATTATTATTATTATTATTATTATTATTATTATTATTATTATTATTATTATTATTATTATTATTATTATTATT